AGGAGGCTTGTTCTGAAAGCCCGCCTTTTATTGCGAGAGTCAAATCTACATTTATCAGCAAAGCTGAAACGTTAAAGGGATTACAAGGAGCTTAGAATCCACTGGCGGTTCATTGATCTGGTCTTGCAAGCCTCATCTCCATATGCCCTTTAGAAATGGCTTTAGTCTGTTCCCTGGTTTTTTGGTTGCCTTTGATTTTTTAGCACCATTCTCATCCAGGTTGGAGGGGATGCTTCTTCCAGCCCTGAATCCGAAAGGTTCTCAGAAATCTTTCTTCTAAAATTAAGAGACGCTACTTGCATATTCCTCTATGAGTGGTATAGAGGAACATTTTCTGTAAATGGACAGATAGTAAATGTTTCTGGCTTTATAAACTGTACACTCTCGCAAGTACTCAACTCTATCATTGCAGCTCAAAGACAGCCACAGACAATACATTAACACAGGGGAGTGACTTTGTTCAGATAAGTTTATGGGCATTGAAACCTGATTTTCAAAGAATCTGCATATGTCATGAAATAGCATTCTTTTGATTTTTTTCTAACCATCAAAAGATGTTAAAACCATGCATGGCTTCTGAGTCATACCAAATAGGCAAAGGGTCTGATGTGACCAGCAGGACCTAGTTTGCCAACTCCTATTCAGAGTATGGTCCCTGGACCAGCAGCATCAGTATCACCCAGGAGCTTGTAAAAAATGCATCTTAGTTCCCCGCCCTGGAGCCTGCTGAATCAGAATCTGCATTTGGACAGGATCCCCTGGTGATTCACATGCCAGCCAAGTCTGAGAAGTCCTAGTCCAGAACACAGAATTTTGAAGTCAGAGATGGTTGGAATAGCACTGACTGGGGACTGCAGAACCTCAGGCAAGCTGTGAAACCTGAGACTCACTTTCCTTATATATTAGAAGGGGTATAAATAATTGCACCCAGCTCCAAGGACTGTTACAAGATTGGGAGGATGAGAAAATAGGTCCCCGAAAGCAACTGGAATGTTGGGTGACCACAATGAGCCAAGACTACACCCATCGAACGGAGACCATTCATGTGTTGCCAGTTACCGCCACACAGGAACGTCGGCCCTGTGTTACCACAGCTTGGGATTCTTCAAGAGAAGCTGGAACCCTGGCTGTTAATGTTAGAAAAAGTCCCTCGTTTAATGCACTGTGCAGACCAAACAGAACCCACATGCAGGCTGGGTGTGAGCCGAGGGCTTCCAGTCTGTGACCTCTTCCTTAAAATAGAGAAGGGAAGACAGGGAAGACAGTCACAGAGAAAGCAGGCTGGGTGTTAAGAGACAAATCCAAGCTTCATTCTCGGTAGCCAGGAGACCTTGGGCCAATGACAGAACCACTCTGAGCCTCAGTCTCCTCGTCAGGAACAGTATCCCATCCACCTCACAGGCTTTGGTGAGATGTGACAGAAATGTATGTTCAAAAAGGGAAACACACTTTTGGACAGAGTAAGCATACAGCCTGGTCACTGCTGACGTTGCTTTGGTATCACTATTACTCTATTCCTCAGTGCCCAGGCACTCAAAGCGCAAATCTTCACTTTCAAAATGGCTGCTTCCCCCTCCCTGCTCAAACTAGGTACAAACAACCAAGCCCAATTAAGCCCCGCTCAGAGAGCTGTCTCATGGCAGAGTACACTAAGTGCCTAGTTATTAATGATTTTCTCCTGGCCACAGTCCACAAGACGCCCTAATCTTCCCCTGAAAGAGAACTCCTTCAGCAGCCCTGTCCCTGTGGGATTTGCCCTGGGCTGCCGTGAGGGGATGCTTCTTATTTGGGGGGCGGCCAGGTCATCTGCAGGGAGCAGTGCCCACCTTTGCTCCCCAACTGCCCTACGTTGTCGGGCGCTTTGGCTGACAGTTACGATCACTCTCTTCTCCAAGGCCTAGAAATTCTTGTGGTTAATATTTTTTTTTTTAGAATTCCTAAAAATCCCCTCATTTGCCACCAAATGGTGTGGGTGACGCTATAACTGATGAAGGAGCATGATCCCTCAGGAAAATCTCCATAAAATATAACAGACTTCCACAGAACCTGAGGCAACTTTAGCACATGCAGGAGTCCCAGAGGGCAGAGAGCGAGCTGGGGTAAGCAGTGTCAGGTGCTGTAATTCAGCTTTCCTCCATCTTTGCCAGCACGTGAATCAGCTGGGGACCCTGTTAAGGCCTGAAGCCAGATTCGTTAGGTCCAGGGCAGGGCCCGAGACTCAGAATTTCTAACAAGCTCCCATGAGATGCGGACACTGGTGGTTCTTGCCCCAGGTTGAACCAACAGAACCCTCCTTTGCTTCATCTCAATGTCTGTGCAAATGTCACCTCCTCAGAGAGTCCTCTCCAGACCACCTTATCTAAAATGTAATTATTTGTTGAACAAGGGCAGGCACCCTGTCTGTCCTGTTCGCTGTATCCCCAGCACCTGTCGAGAGCCTGGCACAAAGCAGGCCCTCAAATATTTGTTCAGAGGCAAGATCCCAGCGTGAGAGCTGAGGACAATGAAACTCAGGGAGCCTGAGTCTTCTGCCCAAGGTCACACAGCTTGGCAAAACCAGAGCAAGGCCACAGCCCAGCTCCCTCCGACTTCAAAGCCCCAGCACGCCAGAAAGGAAAGCAAAGTTTGTTTACAACTCGCTTCCTCCCTAGAACTTCGGTGTTGAAGGCAGGAACACAAGTCTGTTCTGCTTGATGGAGATGCCTGCTGTGTGGACAATGCCGGGGAGGGGACCACGTGGAAGCCAAGAGAAGAGATGAGGTCCAGGAGTGGCATTGCTTAGGATGTCGTGGTGCTTTGGAACAAGGCAAATTCACTCTCTATGAAACAGACCAAGGACAGTCTTTCCGCCTTGTGTCAGGCCTTTCCTCCTATCCAGATGTGACTGTCTCTCCCAGGAGCTCAGAGGTCCCCCAAGTCAGAGCACTGGAAAAGGAGCATACCAGGGATTTCTAACTGCCAAAAAAGAATCTTGTGCCATAACCCAGAAATGGTTCTCCCTCCTCTCCAAAAGGTCACCAAAGAGCATGCCCATGAGGGAAAAGGAAGGGGCAAAAAGCAAGAAGCTGTTTCCTTTCCAGCCATGAGTGGAAATGCCATAAAAACCCCATTCATGGAGGCTTTCGGCTGCTGGTGGGGAAACTGCTTGGGCAGGAAAACCCATCCCAGCCTCATGAAAGGCTCTCTTTCCAAAAGAAAGGCTCCATAATGGGCTGAAAATAAAACACTTGTTTTCCCCTCACCGAACTCGCTGGGTTGACATCGCTGAAGGTTCTGCAAGATGCAGAGGCCCTGACAATCTGAAGTGACCAGAGGATCCCACAGCCTCTAGTGAGCTCTTTATGCTTCCTCCCAGGTACTAGCTGAGAGGAAGCTCAAAATAACTGCAGAAGTAGCTAATATTTATCGTGCACCTGGTATGGGGCAAACAATGTGTTTTCGATATCTGGCTTAATCCCTACAATAAAGCTGTGAGGCAAGTACCATTATGATGCCCATTTAACAGGACAGGAAAACTGAGACCCAGGGAGAGTGACTGGCTGGAGGTCAGATTGGAAGCAAGGGACTCTGGCCACACTCCTACACTGTACCACTGCCCTACAGGTCTCTGATCACAAGTTGAGTCACTAAAGGCTCCAGAGTAGGGGAGGAGCCAGAAGTCACTCTCCTGTTCATCACTCTGCCTTCCCACCCCCAGTGGAGCAAAGGATGCATCAAACAGGAAGTGACCAGTAGTGCTGTCACACTGGATTTGCCTGACAAAATCGGGCTTACATGTATTCCCGCATATCGCCCTTTCACATTTGGGCCACACCAGGGGTCAGTCCAGAGCCACCTACTGGGACTACAACATCAGCAGGACTGATGGATGCCTATGTCTGCCCATTACATATTTATAAGGTCACCAGGCCTTGCCTCCGACACAGAAGTTATTAAAGGCTCGGGAGCCATAAGGGCTGCGCTCAGTGCCCTGAAACAAAGGCAAACAGGCTGCCAGCCCATCAGAGGCGAGAACAAAAGCATTCAATCTCTGAAGGAGCTGGCGGGGAGATTTTTTAGAACTGGGTGCCCAGTACACATGACCAATTGGGAAAAAGTAGAGAAGCAGGGACAGAGTGGGAGAAAACGAAACAAAACAAATCAAAGCAGGCTTTCTCCCGAGTGCCCAGAAACAGCCTTCTTCAAAGGGACATGAGGGAGCGGGGCAGTAGGGGCTGGGGGGTAAGGGGGTGAGGGAGGGAGATGCATTAAGCCAAGAGAGAATGGGTTACAATGCTGAAGAATTTTGTCCTGTCACCAGTTTTGCCTTTTCATGAAGTTGCCAAGAAGAACCTATCTCTTCTCTTTGTATTACCAAACAGAGCCTGTCAGCCTGCACCCTAACTTTTCCCAGCCAGAGCCTCAGCAGCCAGATGTACTGGGAGGGCACCCAGATTCCTTGTCCCCCAAACATAATCATTCCAATCCAGGCTGGGGCTGCCTGGAAGTCAACATTCACGGCACATTAATAAGAAACATCTGGCCACTGAAGAGGGTTGACACAGCACAGGCGGGCAGTGGTGGGTTTGCGGTTAGGACCCAGAGTTACAGAGGCTGAATTAAAAACACAATTGGAAAACACCAGCTAGTCCCAGGAATCCTACATATGCAGTACTGTGGCACTTGGAAAAACTGTCCTGCCTAAGTCGAATCATTTGGGACAGAGTGACTTAGACACAGAGGGTGGTACCAGTGACCCCAAACTATCACATCAGGGAAATGCAGCCAGAGCCGGCCCTCCTGCATCCACAGTGTCTGGCCACCACTTCCACCTTCAATATTTGTAGCAGATGTAGTCCCTCTCTTAAAGGAACAGCCTTTGCATTCTTTCCATGTGACTTCAAGTGCATTTAAAAAGCGAAAAATGCACGTGTGTGCATATATACACATATGTGGATTTATCTGTGTAGCCTCCCCCTGCAGTGGTGCTGTCTCCAGGAATCCTACGTAAGGGGTCCTACCTCCATTTATGCAAGGCAAACCCTGGGCACTGGTCACCACAGGCGTTACATGGCTGGCCTCTCTCGATCCGCCCCAGTCCGGTCAACTTCAAAACAAAAAGACAACACAAGCATGTTTCCACCACCGGGCTTCCTCCAGAGCCCCACTTGTGTCCCAGTCAGGACGGCCTGCCTTTCTCACCCCATCTCCTCTGATTCGACTTCAAAGCTCCTCTCCGCGTTGGGAGATTTGGGGCAGGCGCTGCAGGGCCCCAAGGGTGGTCTCCCGCCTGGGAACGGCTGTGCGGACCCAGTTCGGGCTGCCTCTGGCGTGGGCACCAAGGCACTAAGAAATGGCCCTGGCTGGGGCTTTGTCTCCCCTAGACACCTTGGTCACGGGTTTCTAAGAAACAAAAGCAAGACCTTTCCGCTCCCCGGAGTCCCCAAGAGGCGACCACTGCGTGCTCTCCTTGAACCAGGCTGATGCTCCCGGGAAGGGAGCAGCACGGGACACCCCCCCAAACCGCCCCAAAGTCAGGTTCGCGGCTAGAGATCCAAAAGGCTGGACGCTAGGGCTTGGGTACGGGGATTCCGACCTGCCTGAAGGGCAGGAGCAAAGGAGGGGGCTTCCCTGGGCGCCCCCGGTCTGTGACATTCAGGGTCACGGTTCCCAGCCCGGCTCTTCCCGCGATTGGGGATCCGGACTTTACGCCTTCAGCCCCTACGAGCGCTCCCGCGCGCCCGGGCCGCACCCCCGCTCGCGGGGCCGGCTTACCTGGGGCCACAGGTGCGCGGCCGCGGGGCGGAGGGCGCCTGCTCAGAGGCGCTCGCGGCGGGACGGGGCACCCGGAGACTGGCCCCGCTCGGGCGGGGGACACTCACCGAGCGGCTGGAGAGCCTTTTCCGGGAGCTCCGGCTGAACATGGCCGGGCGCCTCCTGCGCGCAGCGCCGACCGTTCGTCCGTCCGCACCGCGGCCGCGAGGGCGGGTCGCCTGGGCGGGCACCCTCGGCGGCCGGTGGCCTGTCTCCGCCTCGCCGCCCCCGGCTGGCTCCGCGACGCACGCCTGGCCCTCCCCCCTCGCCCGTGCCTCTCGCCCTCCCGCCCGCAGGTCCCTCCCTCTCTCCCGGCATCCCCCCGCCCTCCCCGGGTTCGCCCCGCAGTCCACGGGCCCGCTCCTGGCGCGCACCCAGCTGTGCCTATTTTCTCCCCTTCCCGGCTTCCCGCCGACCCACCCGGGCCAAGTCCCTTCCCTCACCTGGGCCCGCCTCCCCTCAAGGCTCTTCCCTCACCCTCGCCGCAGAAGTTAGGGGCAGGGGACACCTCCAGGTCCCTCTCCTGTAGCCGGGATATGGGGGGCGGCGGGGGGAAGTGGGGGGAGTTTTTAAAATTAAAATATAATTTCCCCAAAGTAAAAATCACCCATCTTAGTGCAGAGTTCTGGCAGTTTTGATTAATTCACACAGACTTCCAACCACCAGCATAATCAAGATACAGAACAGTCCCATTACCCCCAAAATGGACTATTTAAAAAGTTTGTAATTTACATATAATCTACTTCGTATTTACTGAGTATTGGTAGAGGAGGAGAAGGATGAAAAATGGCCCTATCTACTTCTACCCTCATTAAGTAATCACGGACAGGGCAAGCTTGAAACCCCAGGGCCCATGTGCACATCCTCTTGCTAGCTAACCTTCTTCCTGAGTTCTTCTTGCTTGTCTCCTTACCATCCTAAAGGAAATCAGTCCTGAATGTTCATTGGAAGGACTGATGTTGAAGCTGAAACTCCAATACTTTGGCCACCTGATGTGAAGAGCTGACTCATTTGAAAAGACCCAGATGCTGGGAAAGATTGAAGGCAGGAGGAGAAGAGGACAACAGAGGATGAGATGGTTGGATGGCATCACTGACTCAATGGACATAAGCATGGGTAGGCTCTAGGAGTTGGTGGTGGACAGGGAGGCCTGG